GGGGGAATTGCGCCCACACGCAAGAAGAACAATAACAGAGGAAGTAGAAACAGATCATTAACCATATAGTAAAACAATCTAGTTTTAGGAAGAACAGATATGAAAATTGATTGCCTTTTTCAAAATTAGTAGCTCAAATCAAGTATAGATTTGAACTCCAAACTCTTATAAGTAAATAGAGAGTGATCAAAATCTAAAAGGCAAATGATAACAGTAAGATCTACAGTTAAAAAAAAAAAAACAGAAAAGAAAATAATGTTTATTACCTTATTATTTTAGGTCTGTCACCAATTCATCAGCCCACACAGCCAACAAAATTTGAATACGAAGAGTTGGGGATGAAATTCAGATTAATTCAGAAGATCCATTAAGAAGAAACAGACGTGAGAAGTAGTACTAATGGATTTCCGAAAGGTAGAGAAGACCAATAAATTTGTAGTATTTCTCGACCTACATTGTTGTTGACTTGTATTGATTTGGGGTTTTTATGAATCTAGTGCCTTCACTTGTCATTTGCTTTATACACTAAGTTAAAGAATTTAAAACATGGAAGAAAATGATTAAGAAAATAAAATAAAATACAATCATCACACACCCACACCACCCTTCCATTTATCTTTCTTTTTATTTCTTTATTATTTTAATTATTGATGCTTTGGCAGATTCATGGCTTGAACCATCAGCCAGGCTCAAAGAAAAAAAAGAAAGAAAAAGGAAAAGAAAGAGAAATGAAAGAAGAAGGTGGAAGATGCGGGTCACCAAACCCTCCATTCTTTTCCTTTATTTTATTTTATTTGTTGTCTTGCAGGTTCATGGATGATGAATTGGCACATGGGGGGCATATTTATTAAAAAATTTCATACAATTGGCTTAACAATTAAATATGAAATTACCCGAATACTTTTTGATTGGTGTCTAAATGTTATATATACACTTTATTAGTTTATTTATTTTTACTATTTTATAATTTTGTATAATTTTATATGTTCGTATATATTTTGTATATTTATATATAAATTAGTGTATTAATACATTTTAAATATTTTATATATTATATTATAAAAATAAAAAATAAAACAAACAAACAACGTGGGTGACAACACACAATCATCACACACCCACACCACCCTTCCATTTTTCTTTCTTTTTATTTCTTTATTATTTTAATTATTGATGCTTTGGCAGATTCATGGCTTTAAGATTGAACCATCTGCCATTCTCAAAGAAAAAAAGAAAGAAAAAGGAAAAGAAAGAGAAATGAAAGAAGAAGGTGGAAGATGCTGGTCACCAAACTCTCCATTCTTTTCCTTTATTTTATTTTATTTGTTGTCTTGAAGGTTCATGGATGATGAATTGGCACATGGGCATGGTATTGCATTGTTGATGCATCGGGATATTTCAAGAGTTTGGTGATAAATAAATGAAGAAGATAATTTATGATTAAAAAGGGACAATTTAACATAATGATTGTCTAGAGTAATTGGTTGCTGAAGCTGATTTGATTCAAGAGATTCAAGTTCCGTTCTTGATGGGAGCATTCCTTCGAAAGTATATTCTTTTTTGACAAAGGAAGTCAATCCAGTTCTACCAAATCTTGATGTACTGGATAGAATTTCATGGTTGCATGTGCTGGAAAGTGAAGCCAAGGTATGTGTGCAAGATGATGAAGTTTACTACAAAGAAATTGCAAAGAAAATGAGTGGGGCGACAATTGTGAGTGCAGGGCCAGCATCCACTTCAAAGACACCATCGTGATGGCATTCCAGCTTATAAAATTGTGAAAATGTTTGCAGAAGTTCGGGGAGCTTGGGCAGAGAGAGCCGGAGAGCAGATAGTCTAGTTCCTTTTTCTTTTTTTTTTCAATCTGCGTATTTAATTATGAAGAGTTAAATATTTTGCTAGGGTAAGGAGTGAAGCCACAACAAGTGTTTGATTTCTGCCAATTATTCTTTATGGTTTTAATGTAAGATTTTATTTTATTTTATTGGTTATTTTATTTGGAAAAATATTTTATTTTATATAATTCTTTGATTTATCGTTAACTTCGAGTACGGTAAATACTTAGAATTCTCTACAAATTAAATTACTAGTTTTAACATGTTGAACCAATCAAGTTTTTTATAAAATCATCTTCTGAAAAATATTTTTCTTGAATTGAAAATTGTTAAACTTTCCGATTGGGTTCAACTTTCGTACGAATCTCAATTGAGTTATAAAGTTAGGATTTTTGGCAAGCACCAATTAACTTGTTATGAGTGAATCTCTGAACCTTAGTCCAATTAAAACTTTTATAATCAATTACACTAAATTTCCCGTGACCAAATCAAACTCTGCATCAACCAAAATTTCGTAAACTCCAAGACTTGTGTAATAAATCCCTAAGGAAATGACCTGACCTTAGGACTTCCGAGAATTACTATGCTTGACAATGATATTTTCCTATGCTTGGAAACCCAATTGTAGTGAATAATAAAAACCAACAAACACTTTTTAATACCAAAATAAATTATCATATTATTTTTATTTTCATTCACCCACTTTCTTTTCTTTTGGTATTCAAAAAATAAGTAGCGCAAGCTTTGTTAGTCCCCAATCCCAGACAAAGACCTCACTTTAGGTAAAGTAAGGGCACCACACCGAGGAGCGACAAAATCATAATATTTTCCAATCCTCCTTAGCAACAGACCAAATACTTGTAAACAATAACGACAATGGTGTTGATCAAGAGTAGTACTATGGTTAAGTGAAAAAATATTACTAATTGAGAGAAAACGAAAAATAAGAAAAGAGAAATAGGAAAAAGAAAAAATAAAATACATAAAATAAAATTTTTAACTGCACAAAAATTAATAGAAGTATTTTTTAAGAAAATTTTGCCACATATGAGAAACATATTAATTGACTTAACTATTGATTAAGACAGATAGCCATTTGTTATGTGATATGAAATATCAAGGAATGGATGTAATTTCTCAAATATGATGAAGGAATCTGTCATTTTAATAAATTTCAATAATTGTATTTATAATTTTTCGAACCATAATATTTTCCAATCCTCCTCAGCAACAAATCAAATACTTATAAACAATAATGACAATGGTGTTGATCAGGAGTGGTACTATGGTTAAGTAAAATAATATTACTAATTGAGAGAAAACGAAAAATAAGAAAAGAGAAATAGGAAAAAGAAAAATAAAATAAATAAAATAAATTTTTTAATTGCACGAAAATTAATATAAGTATTTTTTAAGAAAATTTTGCCATATATGAGAAACATATTAATTGACTTAACTATTGATTAACACAAAGAGCCATTTGTTATGTGATATGAAATGTCAAGGAATGGATGTAATTTCTCAAATATGATGAAGGAATCTGTATTTTAATAAATTTCAATAATTGTATTTATATTTTTTCTTAAAAATAAAAGTAAAAATATGAAAAGGATATAATGAGCGACTATCATGTACATAAAAATACAACTTTTTTTTTTTGGGTATTTTTTTTGTTTTTGTTTTTTGTTTTTTTGTTTTTTTGTTTTTTTTTTTTTTTTTTTTTTTTTTTTTTTTTTTTTTTTTGGCTGCGAAACTTGTACAAGAAAAAAAAGCAGGAATTATTTTATTTTTTAAGGCTGGTTACCAGAAGTAGTTATAAGGTGGGATGTAACTTTTTTTATGAATTTTTTTACAAGAAAAATTACACTTTTCACATTTTATAAATAGTTTTTCCATCTTTTATTATCAAATAATTCTCTCTTTTTTTTCTTTCTTGCACAGACCATTAATTTCATTATCTTTGTATATTTCGATTTAACAAATTAGAAATCAATCCATTTATGAAAATTGATCATTTCTTTTTAAGATATTTATTGCATAGTTTATTTTCTAATAAGACTTTTCATTTGATTGATTGTCGGATGAGTTATTTTGTTTTTACTATTATAAAGGTTGTTGGTTCCTAAGATTTTATAATTATCGGAATATGATTGTTTAAATTTGTAATTATTTTTTTGGCTATAAATATTAGGAACATTAAAAACAGTCTTAAAGGCTGTCATTAATTTTGAAAATGTATGTAAAAAACATATAAAAGTATTATTGAAATATGTAAAAATATTTTAAGATAGGTAAAGAGTGTATTAAGATTATAAATCTTGATATTTAGGATTTATTATTAACAATCCTTAAAACTGTCATTAATAAAAGGGATTTTTATTGATAAGTCCAATTTAGAAGTGTTTTAACCCAAGAAATCCATGAAGGAATTTTTTAACCTATTTAGTCCCATTATGTATAGTTTTATTCCATAAAGTCCATTTTCTTGATTTACACTATTTTCTTGGACACTTATGCCCTTATATTTAATTTTGATACCCTTATAAACCCACGGCCCGTGGGCGGGCCCGGCCCGGCCTGTTGACAATGTGACTGTTCACATTGACATGTTAACATTCACATTGATAAGAGTATAAAACTAGATAGCAGCCCAGGGCGGGCCCGACTCAGCCCGGCCCAGTCCGTTGACAATGTGAATATTCACATTGACATGTTAACATTCACATTAATAGGAGTGTAAAATTGGCCCCAGTCCCGTGGCGGCGCGAAACCCGCCCGCGGCCCATGGGCGGCCCGGGGCGGGCCCGGTCCGGCCCGTTGACAATGTGAATATTCACATTGACATGTTAACATTCACATTGATAAGAGTATAAAATTGGGCCGCGGCCCTTAGGAGGCCAAAAGCCCGCCCGTTGCCCGGGGCGGGCCCGGCCCGGCCCGTTGACAATGTGAATATTCACATTGATATGTTAACATTCACATTGATAGGAGTATAAAATTAGCCTGCGCCTCGTAGCTGCTCGAAACCCGCCCAAGGCCCGTGGGCGGGCCCGGCCCGGCCTGTTGACAGTGTGAATGTTCATATTGACATGTTAACATTTACATTGATAAGAGTATAAAACTAGACAGCAGCCCAGAGCGGGCCCGATTCGGCCTGGCTCGGCCCGTTGACAATGTGAATATTCACATTGACATGTTAACATTCACATTAATAGGAGTGTAAAATTGGCCCCCGTCCCGTGGCGGCGCGAAACTCGCCCGCGGCCCATGGGCGGCCCGGGGCGGACCCGGTCCAGCCCGTTGACAATGTGAATATTCACATTAACATGTTAACATTCACATTGATAAGAGTATAAAATTGGCCCACGGCCTATGGACGGCCAAAAGCCCGCCCGCTGTCGGGACGGGCCCGGCCCGGCCCGTTGACAATGTGAATATTCACATTGACATGTTAACATTCACATTGATAAGAGTGTAAAATTGGCCCGCAGCCCGTGGGCGGCCCAAAGCCCGACCGCAGCCCGAGGCGTGCTTGGCCCGACTCGTGACAATGTGAATATTCACATTGACATGTTAACATGCACATTAATAGGATTTTATAATTAGCCCGCGCCCCGTGGCTGCCCGAAACCCGTCCACGGCCCATGGGCGACCCGGGGCAGGCCCGGCCCAGCCTGTTGACAATGTGAATATTCACA